CTGATGCGAATGCGCAACACTCTATTTCAGAACCTCCGCCTCAATTTGATGGCAATCGTGGTGGTCGTTTCTCTCGTGGTGGTGGTCGCAATGGTGGTAGATCTAAAGCACAATATCAAATATGTGCTAAATTTGGATAATATCAAATATGTGCTAAATTTGGATATGATTCCAAGGTTTGTTACGATAGGCTCTCTGTTACTCCTTCTAGACCTAATCAATGGCATACTCCAACTGTTCAACCTCAACCTGCATCCAATTTTCAAAATCAATGGTATTCAGCCGTGGCTCTAGCACAGATTCCACATCAATGGATGCCTCCTTCTCAATGGAGTGTTCCAGCATAGGGTTTCATACCTAGACCTACCACTCCTACTTATGCTGGCAAGCAACCTCAAGCCTATCTCGCAGTTTCAGACATAGGAACAAGTCTAGCTGGAAACTCTCAATGGTATGCAGACTATGGTGCTACACAACGTGTTACCAATTCTGCATGTCGCTTCCCTGACAACATTTCTACCTTAGGATCTGACCAAGTTATGCTTGACAATGGTCAAGGTTTGTCTATAACTTCAATTGGTAAAACTTCCACATCTGCACACAAACTACATGTCACACTCACTTTGAATAACCTGTTGCTGGTTCCTAAGATCACCAAGAATTTAATCCTAGTGAGTCAATTTGCACGTGACAATAAAGTATACGTTAAATTCCATCTTGACTTCTGCCTTGTAAAATCCCAGGATACTTCTTAAGTGCTACTTTAAGGATCACTTGGGAAGGATAGACTTTACTCATTTGGCAACCTCAAGGCTATTTCTTACTCAACTAGTATCTCACATTATGTTCACACACTCACTAGTAACAATTTACTTTCAACATCTTTGAATTCATGTGCAAATAATACCACTGCTATAAGACCTTCTTTGTACTCTCAGTGGCATAACAGACTGGGGAACCCTCATCATGAGGTCCTCAAAGTTGTTCTATCCAAGTTTAATATACTTATTCCTCATCAATCCAAATTATATGTTTGCACTGCTTGTTGTTTGGGTAAGGTCCATAGATTACCTTTTACTACTTCCACTACACAATATCATGTTCCCTTTGATCTCATATTTGCTGATGTTTGGGGTCCAACACCCATGGTATCCACTGTTGGTTTCAAATATCTCCTCACATGTGTTGATGCCTTTACAAGGTATACTTGGATTTTTCTCATGACACAAAAATCTGAAGTAACCTCCATCTTCACAACCTTTATGGCATATGTATCCACTCAGTTTAATTGTCAAGTTATGATAGTTCAAACTAATGGAGGAAGTGAGTTTCAACCACTCGCTCCTCTCATTGCCACACAAGGAATTATACACAAGCTTACCTTCCCTCACACACATCACCATAATGGGTCTGTGGAGAGAAAACACAGGCATGTTGTAGAAACATGACTCACTCTCTTAGCTCAAGCATCCCTACCTTTAAATTTTTGGATCATGTTTTCAAGCAATTTCCTATCTTATCAATAGGATACCAACACCTGTCCTGACTATGCAGTCAACTTATAGCATGTTGCACCAATCTGATCCTAATTATAAATGTCTCAAAGTGTTTGGATGTGCATGTTATCCCCATCTTAGACCCTACAACCCTCATAAGTTTTCCTTTCACACCAAGGAGTGTTTATTCCTTGGTTATTCCCCACATCACAAGGGTTACAAGTGCATGGCACATGATGGGAAGATTTACATATCAAATGATGTGATCTTCAATGAGATAAGGTTTCCATACACTCACTTGTTTACCAAAGGACCAACCACTGTCCCAATTCCTCTTTCTTTCTCTTCATGTTCATCTCAATTCACCCATTTTGGTCCTCAATCACCTCAGACCAGTCCCTTGGATGTTACAACTCGTACTCCTAATCCAGACACTTCATCTACATATCAAGCTCCATATTTAACCCATTCTCCCTCAACTACAGTCATATTACCAAGTCTCAATTCAGCTCAGTCTGCTCACTCATTATCTTCCTCAAGCTCAGAATAACTCCCTACATCTCACCCCTTATCCTCAAAACACTCAGTCTATGGTCACAAGGGATAAAGTTGGAATTATGCAACCTAGGCTTCATCCTACACTTCTTTTGGTTGAGCTTGAACCAACATCCTACAAACTTGCTCTCAAGCATCCTAAATGGCTTGAGGCCATAAAAACTGCGTATGATGGTCTTTTACACAATCACACTTGGACCCTCACCACTCTTCCTCTAAATAGAAGACAAATGGATTGCAAATGGGTCTTTAGGATCAAACAAAATCATGATGGCTCCATCCTTAAGTACAAGGCCAGGATTGTGGCCAAAGGCTTTCATCAAGTTCAAGGATTTGATTTTCAGGAGACTTTCTATCTAGTTGTCGAACCTGTCACAGTCAGGATTGTCCTAACTTCGGCCTTGTCTAGACTGTGGCAAATAACCCAACTGGATGTCAATAATTCATACTTAAATGGAATTTTGACTGAAGAAGTCTATATGTAACAAAACCCTCGGTTTGTGAAACTTGGTTCTGCCCTAATCTGCAAGCTTAAAAAAGCTATATATGGGCTGAAACAGGCACCCAGGGCATGGTTTGAAAGACTCTCGACTGCTTGGTATCAGCTTGGTTTCATAACAAGAAAGTGTGATCCCTCCCTTTTTACCTTGACTTCCCTCACTCACACTATCTTCCTGTTAGTGTATGTGGAAAACATCATTGTCACATGGAACTCTCTCAGCCACATTCATACTCTAGTTACTAAGCTTAATGCTCAATTCTCCCTCAAACAGCTTGGCATCCTGAACTACTTTTGGGGTATTGAAGTCTCCAAAACTCCTCAAGGGGGCTTGTTTCTATCCAAAACTAAATATCTTAGGGATCTCTTAGCCAGAACTAACATAGGTGAGGCTAAGACCCTCCATACTCCTATGGTGTCTAACTTAAAACTCAATAAGGGCCAATATGATATTATTACCAGGCCAGAAATCAGTTTTTCTATCAACAAAGCTTGTCAATTTTTGGCTCAACCAATGCAAAATCATTGGGTTGTTGTCAAAAGGATACTGAGATATCTCATGGGCACTATTCATCTTGGCCAGCAGTTTCAGCTAGCTAACCCTCAACAACCACTCACCATCACTACGCTCTATGATGCTGACTGAGGTTCTAACCCTGATGATAGAAAATCAGCATCAAGGTCCCGCATCTATCTTGATCTTAATTTGGTCTCTTGGTGGTCCAAGAAGTACACCCTTGTAGCCAGATCTATTACAAAAGTTAAATACAAAAATTTGGCCACCACTACATCTAAGGTTCTTTGGATTCAGTCTCTGCTCTCAGAATTGCAAATAATTTCTCTAACCCATGTTCTCTATTGTGACAATCTCAGTACTGTGGCATTGTTTCACAATCCTATTTTCCATGCCAAACATATCTTAGAGAAAAAGTCCTCAATAACACCTTCTATGTCAAACATATCTCAGCAAATCTACAGACTGTAGACATTCTTACAAAACCTTTGTCAGCACTCAGGTTTCTCACACTCAAAGACAACCTTAAATTCATAGACAAGACTTCATTCCTATGAGTCCAAATGTCTACCTCAGGAGGCAGCCCTATTTGAGGGGAAAATATTATAGTGTAGTATACCAATACATGTTTAAAATACATTTATGCTAAGCTGGCAGCAATAGATCTCAGTAAGTTAAACTCAACTGTGATTTGTAACTAACTCAGTTAGCTATGCTGAGCTGGCACATGTGTCATGCCTAAGAGTGGCAAAACAGGCCCAACCTGTTGGACATTCCCATTTTGTCTGCACTTTAGTGCGGGACGGGTCAAAGGTTTAAGCCTTCATCCTAAAATGTGTCAGTTCTGCCCCGCCCCGTTTTCTTCGCGGGTTTTTGCGGACACGAACATTTACATAAACCTTTGTATTTTTAAGCTTAAAAAATACACTGTCCACATACTTTCTCCGCTCCACCTTCACTTTTTTTGCAGGGCAAGCCTAGGTTTTAGTCTCGTATTCTTAATTATAATCGCCTCATCCCGTTTTATTACTGACTTTTACATAGAACTCTAAACGGAACGGACATGCTCGTTTGTCAACCCTAGCCATCCCTAATATAAATAGATTCCACTTCTAATATTTCAATCATATTTCAATCAAAAATGAGTTAATAATAAACATTAATTTTCTCTACAATGTTCTCTTTATCAAACTCTAATACAAGAAAGAGGATAAATGAAAATGATAATGTTATATATAGTATTTGTTTGTTTTCTTTTGATATCATGTTAATATTATAAGTCTATTTAAAACTATAATATCAATTTTTTGAATTTCTTTTAGTTTTTAGATAAAAATATTTAATGATGTGGTATCTACTCAATGTCACATTATAATTTGAAGCGGGACTAAAAAAACCAAAAAAAATTAATGAAAGACTAAAAATATTGAGTTTTTATAGATGTCTAAAAATTTTTTAAAAAATCAGAATAGGAATACTAAACGTGCATTTCCTTGTTCGATCTTCCCATCCCATGAGATGGAGAAATGGGAGAAACGTGACTATGAATTGAAATAAAATATTAACTAATAAAATGAATTATAAAAAAAAGAGATCCAAAATAATTTCATTTTAAGCCAGATTTTCTCCTCTTGCAATTAAAAATAATTATAATAAGTGTAAATCGTTATTTAAAAAACACAAATGAACACAAACAAATAAGTTGTCACTAAATTTGTGTCGCATCATTACTCTCAATGGACAAATTTGAGAAATTTGAGAACCCTAAAGTCACACTCCTAGTGCAGTAACTTTCATTTCAGAGTAGCACATTCAATTCTGCGGAATTACACAGAAATAGTTCTGAAATAAATAAGCCCTTCAAATAAAAAAGCAACATCATCAACTGCATGGCAGATAAACTTACAAAATAGGATCTTTATGTTAAAAGTTAAGCTTACTCATGTGCCAAAAAAACTTTCAACCGCCACGACAAATCTTCAGAATTGTGCATTTCATCCCTGACTTTTCGGGTATATTGCTCCAAAGTGTGTGCATACTCATTTATGGTCTCAGTTGATATTGTCTCCTCAGCTAATCTGACTGCTGCCATCTGAGACAATTGAAAGTTTTCACCCATTTGCTGTAGCTTCCTTGCTGTTTCACCCTCCCCAAACATCATAAGGGAAACCAACAAAGATTTCAGCTCTCGTCTTGATTCCACTCTCAGAGACATGCCTTTCAAATGATCCACCAAGGCCAACTCCTCACCAGCACTGCAAAATTGTGGCTAATGAAAAACAAAGGTACACAAGGAAGGACAGATGTGAATAAAGTCTCATGTTTACATACCTCCCAGGACGGATTTTTCCTCTCTTCCTCTGACGCCTAGCCTCTCTTGCCCTGGTAGTTGCAGCTGAAATAGTAGAAATGGCAGAACTTTTCCGGGTTCTGCGGATGAAATCAGGAAAATCAATGAAGTCCCATGCACCAAAAGTATAACACAAGAAATAAGTATAACAAAGATGTGAAAAGTATTACCTTTATTATTCTTTTTTTTTTTAATGAAAAACAATAAACCAATTTTACCATCAACTGTAATAGTTCTCTAAAACAAACATATGTACAAATGTGTAATTAAGCAGGAGATTTTTCTATTCACATTGAAAAAAATGAGGCACAAGAGCAACTCATTTGTGGACACAATGGCAGACCATGTCAAATAATATGGATGGTTAGGAAACAAAGATTATCCAGACTCGGATGCCCGACCTCTGACTGCAGAGGCAGCAGATGCTACTAAGAGAGAGACATGAGTTTGAATGTGACAATGGTTCTTCAATCCTAAAAGGGCACAGGAAGGTAGGATGTGTGGAACATTGCCCACAAACAACCTCGAGATTCAAAGGTTACATTATTTTACATGAAGACAAATAAATTCATTTAATGTGAATATTATGATAAAGACTACAATTTTAAAAACCAAAAGAGCATCTAACTATCAGTCTTCTGCATAAGCATAAGAATGTAAAACAGCACACTTATATAATACATCTAAGATGATTATGGAAAGAGCATAGGGTCTCGCGGTTTAGTTCATTATAACATGTTAAGAGGCCATAATCCATCCACAGTCAGAGAAATACGATTCAGAATATATACAAAAGGATGTTAAATGATGTTATACATCTCCCGAAGTATCTAGCAATGTATATGGGATCAAAGATAATTACGTACCCTGTGGTGTATGCACTCATTCCACTAAAATTACTGCTAGCTTCTGAAGCAGCATCATCATCCAGATCACTAGCAGCACGTTCCTCTGACTGGAGCTTGGCTGAAAGAAGTAATCTTCTCTGTCGAACAGCCAAGTAACGGGTCAAGTACTTCCCCACTTTCTCTAAGCCTTCCTCATATTCATTGGTGAGTGTGCTTGCACATTCAATAGATGCATCCTTTACGCTTTTAATTAAGTCCTCTCTTCTATGCATTAAAACAACCCTCAAAGCCTCCTCCCAATCTCTTGCAGAAATTAATAAATTCACACCAGAGTTAACATCTCCACAGTAGTCCAGCGCAATTTTGGCAGCTTCGCCAGGTTTACCAAGCGCTTGAAGTTGTTCACAAAGTTCACCAGCAAGATCCAGTACTTCGTCCTTTCCCAGATTAAGGAACCCAGCAACTGTAAGCACTCCACTCCAGTTATTAATAGCACGATAAGACTTCAGAGCCTTGTCCAAATTGAAACAGGACAAGTAAATTGTTGCAGCCTCTTCAAAGTACTTTTCATCACTAAGATAATCACCCCAAGCCTCTAGGAATGGCATCCTTTTGGCAGGGTCAGTAAAAAGTTGAAGAGCCAATGGAAAAAGTTGAGGGTTTTTATTCACAAGTGCCATACAATCATCATAATATGAATCTCCAGCAGAAACAATATGTCTGAGAGCCTTTTCAAACCTTTTCAGCCTAAGGTCGATATTATATTGCATTAATTGTGTAGGCATACGCTCCAACTCTTGCAAGAAAGGAAGAAATTCTTTTGGATCTTTTTGGGCATTCAATGCCACAATAGCTGTGAGTTTTAAATCATAAAGACCCAAAGCAGCATCATAGACAGCATCCCCGTCGGCCAACCACAACAGATGTTTCAAAGCTTCTTCAGCAGAAGGGTAAGACATCCTCATATGATCATCAGCATGAGACAACTCCTTTTCACGAATGGCTTTTATTCTCTTTAGAGCATCTTCAAGTAACGGAGGCTCACTCCGAGCAAGAGTGGTTAATATGCAAAGCTCCCTTGCAGGACTTTCTGTAAAGTGTTCCTCAAGTGCTTTCCTTATGGCCATCAAAATCGAAGAAACCTTGTTATCAGCATTACAATTTTCAAGGGCTCCAGCTAGCATAACATTAGCAACCTCTGAACAGGGAACGGACACATGATTTTTGTAGAGTTTCTCTATAACATTTTCATTCTTTATGGAACAAACAAACTCAGTTATGTAACCCAGATTGTTGACCTGCCTGACAAATTCAAAAGCAGATTGTGAAAATGCTTGCCAGCCACAATAATCAACAATTACATTGAAATCTATCCTATGCCTCCTGACCATGAGGAACGCATCTCTAAATCGCTTTTGAGTTAAGGCATTAATGATAGAAACCAGAACCAATTTTCTAGGGTATATACATTCTAGGTTTCCTCGAGTAGTTTGCACTATAGTGGCAGCTTCATCTCCATGTAAAACCCCAACAATTTTAGCACCTCTCTCCCATATATGTATGTAGTTTTCATTTTCTTCCTTTTTTCTGCTGTTACTGCGGACGAAATTTCCATACTTTAAGTCAAGCTCCCCATTAAATATATCAACAATGTCAACAATAAAAAGAAGATCTTGCTTAGTTGCAAGAATTAGATGTGTTATTACTTGGTCTGCCAAATTTGAGTAAAATGAAAAACTGCTGCAGTTGTTGCAAACCACTATACCCCCGCTAGTATGCAATCTGCCAATCTCATCCAGTCCAAAAAGCACTGGTTTTGACTGGCCAACACTTCCGATCAACGCTACACCCATCCAAGGGCAGACTACGGAAAATCCTTGAAATTCTTGCTCTAGAGATCCACCACCAGTGCCCACTTTTGATAAATACTCTTTGATTTTACCCTCAGAAAACTGCATAAATGCTGAAGATTTACTAGCAGGGTTTGGAGCAATGCCAATAACAAGCTCTTTAAGGGTATTTTGTTTTGAAACTGTTGCGTGCCAGCCAGAACATGTCAGCAATCCTGGAACAATATCCTCAGAACATTCAAGTTCTATTTCCTGCAAAAAGAAGCCTGGAAGTGCATCCTTATTGAGTGATGTTTGGAATAAGTCATTGCTGTGACTAAAACCATAATGTGAAACAGATAACAGCTTATGTGAATCCAACCATACAAGATGTAATATGGATCCGAACACCATTTCAGTATGAGAGGCTTCAACACTGAATTCTTTCCCCTCTAGTTCTTCCCAGGTTTCAATTGATGGAAGCTCTACAACACATAAACTACCATCCGAAAGAAATGCAGCTAACTTGTTCTTGGAGTTTTTACAATATACAGCCATACCCCGTACATGGGAAGAAAATTTTAGACTAAATAAATACATAGGAGGTGGCATTAAAGATAAGGAAAGTGGTGTTACGTGAATATTGGAGCCATCAATGACTAGTGCAACGGAATTGTCCATAACAGCTGTGATCCAAACAAAGTTGTAAACTGTAACCTGACCACCAAGAGTCCAACAAATCAACTGCAAAGGTTTTTCTTGATTCCATATGAACCTGACTTCATCTTGCTTCAAGTATCTAATTTCATGCTTCACGTACCAATGATTGTTGCTAAAATACCATATCTTTATAGCATCATAACTTTCGCATTCTACAACACCCGCAAGAAGATCAGAACTGCAATTCCACTTCAGAAATTTTACTTTTGCATTAACTCCTTCACCAACACTAAACTTGCTTCTTTCCAAACCATTCCTCTCAAAGAAAACAATTGAAGGGCATTCATTTTCAGCTTTTCTGTCATATACAGCTGCAATTTTAGCACCACTGGGCATCCACTCCAAAACTGCTCCAGCAAAAGTTTTTTCATCCGAAGAAGCAAGCAATGCCCCTGAATCTCGATCCCAAACCTTAAGTTTCCGCAAAAAAGTAGAACTACACACGCTCATCGTAGCAAAGTACTTTCCATCTCCTCGCCAAGATATCGGATGTTGCTCAAACCCACCCTCCAAAAAGTTTTCTCCATCTGAAAAACCACAGTAGAATCACTATTTCGAACAAGCTTTACATAAAAAGAAAACTCAGACAAACAAAATTGAAAATAATAATACAGCTATATGGCACAAACATTCACTTATGCTGTAAGCTAGTAGTTCAAAAAGCCTAAAATAAAAATATATAGATCCAATTTGGATAAACTTCTTAGGAAACACTTGTGGAAAAGAAATATTAAATCAATCTTACTATAACTAAAAGATCTTTCATATGAGTTGAAACTTGCTTCTGCATCTCAATTTCTTCATAAACTCTATAATTAACTTCTATTAGCTAATATAAGCTTACAAAAACATTTTAGTAACTAAACCACCATAAACTCCAGGCTTTTTTTATAGCTTTGTTTGAGCTAATCTAAATGCATAAACACTTGTGAGACTATTCGGGAAAGAACTTATGACATGTCCATAAATTGGTTTTAACTTATTTCCATAAGCTCTCCATAATAACTTGTGAAAATATATTATACCTTGTACGAAACTAGTACAACAGCAAGAACAACCAAACCTTATCCTACTAAGTGGGATCGGCTACATGATCAACTTTCGCCATAATTCTATCAACGACCACGTTTCTATCTAAATCATTGATCTCGAGATCTTTCTTAATAATTTCTCTTATAGTCTTTCTAGATCTTCCTCTTCCTATAATTGCTTTGACTTCTCTCCATCTGATGCACTCCCCTTGCCACAGAATCCACAGGTCTTCTCTCCATGTGCCCAATCCACATCCAAACCACTTAAGTATATTTTCCCCAACCTTCTCTACTATAAGTGCTACCCCAACACTCCAATATTTTTATTTTTAATCCTATATTGTCTAATCTTACCACACATCCAACGCAACATCCTCATCTTTGCTCCACTTACTTTATTCTCGTGTTGATTCCTAACCGCCCAACATTTTGTCTCGTACATCATTGCAGGTCTTACCACATTCCGATAAAAAATTTCCTTCCTTTTATCTTATGCGGTAATATACGAAACTAGTATGAGTTTATTTTATCTTTTGTTATGGAAATATAAATAGCTTATATATAAGCACTTACATGTTCAATAAAGTTGTTTATCAAAACTGGGGTTTATAAGCCAAACCCAACCCAACATGGGCAACAGCATAAACACACAAACATTATCACACAGATTATAAAATTGAGAAGAAAGGTGAATAGTCCTTACTTACGTGATGGCCTTGAGGAACATCATCATCAACAACAAGTGGTGTTTCATACAACAAATCCCAATCATGAGTCATAACCAAAATCTGACCAAAACCAGTAATTATAGCAAGAAGTTCACCATCAGGACTAAGGGAAATGCAGTTGACACCACCATCCAAGTTACCAACAACTTGAGTTGTGTTAGCGTCAACATCATAAAGCAATAAAAGCCCGTTGGAAGTTCCAAGAAGAAGCGCTTCTTTCTCCATAAGATAATCAAAAGAAGTAACACTGTCATCGGGTTCGAGATCAACGCTGCCATAATCCGTAGATAACAATGAGGCATTACTCCAAGCTTCTTTATCCTGCCATACAAAACATATAGGAATCAATAATTTATAGTTAAAGAGAGAAAGAGATAGTTAGAGAGAGATTGGGAACGGACATGGAAGGAAGATAGATGGTAAGTGTAGATGAAATTGTGGGACGAGAGGAAGAAGAGACGGTTGCGTTCGATATCTAAGGCGGCGAATCGAAAAGTTTCGTCGTCGGAGGTTAATCGGAGAATGAAAGGAACCTCACGGAAGAGGTTTAGGTTTTTCATTTTGAAACCCTAAAACCCTTCGCCGCCGGTGAGATACTTAACCGATAGTATGGTTTATGATTTTAACACTCGAAAGAGAGACAACTTTTTTTAGTAGGCTTAACTATTTGTGTTTTTTTAATTAATAAGTGAGATTAATTAACTTTTTACATAGTCTTTTTTTTTTTCATGAATTTAAGGTTAAAACAGTTAATTGATGAAGTATTTAAATGTTGATTTTACATGGTTTTAGTTTTTGACATCAATTATTTATTAAAAAAATATAATATGAATAACAATGTTGACATAATTTTATTTTTATTAAATTTTAATTGATGAATGAGATGATGAGATTATTAAGTTGTTTGGGGTATTAAAAGAAAGGGTCTTGCTAACCAGTGTCCTCATGGCACTATTTAAACATTCCATATTAAAAAATTATTCTTTAAAAAATTCAAAAACTTCAATTTCCAATGCACATTATTACACATTATTGCACATACTTTTATAAAAACTTACTATTTAAAGTTTTAAAAAGTGTCATGAGGGCACTAGCATTCCCCTAAAAGAAAGTATTAAATCTATAAAAGAATCATTATTTTGAAATCATCTTGTTCTTTCTTATTTCTTTTTGCATTAGCGTCATTTTTTTATTTCCTCTATTTTTGTGTATTGAAGTATGTTTAATTCCTCATTTGGGAACTCAACCTCGTTTCAAATCTCATAATCTTGTTGCAATAGGTAGGGGTAAAAATAAGTTGGACCGAGATAGGTTTTGTCAAGTTTGAATCTGGTTTGTTAAATTTTTTAAAACTTAAATCTGGCATGCGGTCTATCATAAGCTTGTTTTTAGGCCTGAGTCTGACCTGGTCTAGGCTTCTTTAAGTTAGGTCGTAGGCCCCTGTTATTAGCCTGGCCTATTTTCACCCCTAGCAATAGGTCAATGAGGATGTTCAGTCCAATTCCAATGAAAATCCTAAGAGGAAATCACGAAAATGTGCAAATTTAGGATAAGTTTGACTACAACTTGTACAAAGATCTAACATAGTAAAAAATCTCTCACAGGAAGTGAAGGGACTGGAGTATTCTCGAATTATGAGGGAAACTATGATATATCATTATTTTCTTTACGGTCGGTATTTATTTTTCAGCATATTTACCTTCATACCATTTCTGAAAAAATAATAAAATCAGTGTTAACACTTCAAATTGAGAAAAGTCCAATAAATCTAATTCACTCATCTTAAAGACTACGCATAAACAAATAATTGATATCTGAGCAGATTCAAGTAATCTGCTCTTGTGATCCATAATGGCTTGTGCAAACCTGGTGTTCAGAGATGGTGATAGCAATAACAAGTCTTTATTATTCTGTGGTGAATACTTTGATTTTTGAAAAATTCGCATGAAGGTTCATCTATAAGCACAAGGAAAAGATATATGGGATATTGTACACAATTGGCTATTTGTTCCTACTAGTGTTGTCGATGATGTTGAGACAACAAAGATTAAAAGCTAACAGAATGAAGATGATAAGGAGAAGGTACTTTATGACAAAAAAGCGATAAGCATACTTCAAAGTGCACTTAGCATTGATGAATTATTTTGTGTCTCTCAATGTATAACGACAAAACAAATATGAGGTACATTGGTGGAAACTCACGAAGGAACCGCCAAAGTAAAGAGATCAAGATTGAATACATCGAGTCAAGAGTGCGAGTTATTCAGAATGTAGCTCAGAAAATTAATCCTTGCTCTATAAAAGAGATTTGTTCGCTTAATCAATCACTTGTTTGCTCTCGATAAGACTTTTACTAACGGTGAATTAAATCTTAAAGTGTTCAGGTATTTAACTAGGGAATGGCAACCAAAGGTGACTGTAATATCAGAAAAGAATAGTCTTTCTACCATGACATTTGCTTCCTTGTTCGAAAAACTTCAAGGGCATGAAATAAACTTGAAAAATTGTAGCAGCGTGAAATGCAAGTAAAAGATTCAAAACATATTGTATTAAAGACAAAAGTCAAATTTCAAGATAGCAATCAAAAGGACGAGTCCACTGATGAGGATGGTGATCTTATCAGAAAGTTTGAAAAGTTCTTGAGAAATGAAAGGAAAAAGGAGATCATTCACAAAGAAGCGCCAACAAGGAGAGTTACATATTTTGGATGTGGAAAAAGGGGACATGTCAAGAGTAAATGTCATACACTTGAAAAGAAAGGAAAATCAAAAGCAAGAATCACAAAAAGAAAAAAGAAAGAATATGTAGCATGGGATGAAAATATAATAAATTCATCTTCAAATGAAGATCATTCATACAAGGCATTAATGGTCTCACATCATTCAAGCGATGAAGAACGTGAGGTTAGTCATTCTAAAAATGATGATATTCCATCTTATGATAAATTACAAAGCATTTTTCATGAATTACATGATGGACTTTTGAAACGTTCTAGAAAATATTCAAGTCAAAAGAAAACTATTTTAAATCTAGAAAGAAGGTCTAACAACATTCAAGTGAAGTTAGACTTAATCAAAAATTTATAATGCAATAAGTGTTCATTTCTTGAGTCTAAAATTGTTAAATTAAAATAAGTAATTGTGAATTTTGAAAAGGGTTAAATTGATGTAGAAAATGTGTTAAGTAGTAAAAAAATTTAAAGGATAAATGTGACATTGGCATTACTAACTTTGATAAACCTAGTACAGGTCAAATTATGTTTGTAAAGGTCACTAATGAATTCAACAATGTAGAATAAAAGAAAGAATATGTTGTAAATCATCATAAAAGGTCTTATAATATAAATCAAGTTTTTACACCTACTTGTTTCTATTGTAAAGTAAAAGGTCATGCTAATAATGGTTGCTACATAAGAAATTATGGTATTCTTTATAGTGAGTATGTATGAGTGAGTAAGGTATCTAACCTAAAAAGACCCAGAGAAAATTGGATATCTAGAAGTAACTAAAAGTTTTGTAGGCACTTTAAGGTCATATGCTAGCATTGTCAAATCAAGATTGACCCTTCAAGACACAAGACCATATGATATAGTAGTTCTAAAAGTTTCATGGATTAAAAAGATGTTTTGAAGAAGTATTAACGTTGATATCAACTTTGACATCAAATTCTTGTAAAGGAGATAAGTGTCTAATTTTGTGCTATTAGAGGGTGTTTGCTTCATGGATACAAATATTATTCTCGAGAATGTGACATTGGAATTCACATATTTACTTGTTTGTTTCAAGTTTTGATAATTTATGTCCGGATACTTTTTATTCCAGGAATATGTTTTGGTCATGAATTTCTTTATTTTTATTCTGACGTCAAAGGATGAAAATCTTACATTCCCATAGGAATATAAAATAACCAACCATAACTTCTCACTCCCATGTTATTTTAACACTTTTATTTTTTATTTTTTATTTTTAAAATTTAATTAAAATAAAACTTAAAAGTATTTCCTTAAAACTTTATTTATTTGCCAAACACATTGTTGGGAATAAAGTTCATGGCAATAATATTCCTGGGAATGATATTTTCGGGATTATAATTTTAATCCATCAAACAGACACACCCATAGCTTTCAATTATAAATATATCATTCTTATGTTATCACCTTGCTTTATATTATATTATGTTTTATCTTCTTTTTAATGATGTCAAAAAGGAGGAGAAATAGTAGGTATTGTATTTGTTCTTGTTTATAATCTTTTCAGGGGAGACAGTCTTGAATTACAATAGCAAGGGGGTATATATATAAGATAGGGGGATATTCTAATTGTTGCTCAACATTTTGAAAACTCATATATTGAATCAACACATTGATGAACAAGTAAAATTTCAAAGGATATTTTATCATCATCAAAAAGGGGAAGAATGTGGAGAAGAGTTATTCTTGTCCTTGGTTATAATTTTTATGAAGACAAACACATCAACAAAAGAAGTCAGAGCTTGAAGACTAGAGCAATCAAGTTCAAATTATCAAAAAGCTTTGGAAAATTAATGGAAGAAACGAGATGCATGAAAGTTTTAAGATGAATATGCATGATTTTTATGAGCAATTAAGATATATATATATATATATATATATATATATATATATATATATATATATATATATATATATATATATATATCTTAATTGCTCATAAAAATCATGCATATTCATCTTAAAACTTTCATGCATCTTTCGAAATTAATTTTGAAAGTAACCATTTTGTTTTTAGTAAATTGTGGTATTTAAAATCGTTGTAACATCATTTTAAAACTGCCACACTTTGCACCATTTACTCTAAATATAAAAATACCTTAATTTTTTAAAATGTGTCATGTGTAACCAGTCACACCATTTCTGATAACCGGTTACACATTTGAAAATTTCTATTTTTGAGTATCGCTTCAGGTGTAACCAGTTACGCCCATTCTGGTAACCGGTTACCACTAAAGCAGTGGCAGTGATTCATTTAAATTCTGATTCTAACGAGTTTTTTACTGCACCCCTCAAAAATGAATCTTTTCATGCATTCATACACTTTCAGAAATATCTTGAGGTACTATGAGTACGTTGCAAATCAGAATTTGAAAACACATATCTTTCATAACAATTCAAACTCATTACTCTCTCATTTTCAAAACAAATGACTTCTGATTTAACTTTTTGTTTTAAACTTACTGCATATATTTTCATTCAAATCTGAAAGTTTCAACACTATAAACATTGAGCACTTGTGTTACATATGGTGAATTACCTACTTGATAGAAAAGATCAATTCTAGGAATCGATATACATTGTTATACAATTTTAAACACTTGTAAAAATTCAGATTGTTGTAATTTCGTTGTTGTCCAGGATTCTTGAAAGCAAGAGAGTGAATAAGGGAGGATTGTTCTATTGTTGCACTTCATAAAGACCATAAGGGGATTGTCCTTATTTATTGTGTTGCTTATTGTTGTGTGGGTCACCAAAATAAGTGAGCCCACTTAATCTTATTATTATTATTATTAAAAGAAAAGAAGAAAA